TCTTTCCCTTTCCCTTTTTCTTTTTCTTTTTCTTTTTATTTTTATTTTTATTTTTATTTCTCTTTCTTTCCCTTTTTATTTTTCTTCTTTTTCTTTTTCTTTTTTCTTTTCTTTCTCTTTTTCATTCTCTTTCTCTTTTTCTTTCTCTTTTTCTTTTTCTTTCTCCTTTTTCTCTTTCTCTTTTTCTTTCTCCTTCTCTTTCTCTTTCTCTTTTTCTTTCTCTTCCTCTTTTTCTTTCTCTTTCTCCTTTTTTTCTTTTTCTTTCTCTTTCTCTCCTTTTTTTCTTTTTCTTTTTCTTTTTCTTTTTCTTTTTCTTTTTCTTTTTCTTTTTCCTTCTTTTTCTCCTTCTTTTTCTCTTTCTCTTTCTTTTTCTCTCTTTCTTTTTCTCTTTCTTTTTTTTCTTTTTCAATATAGAAATGTAGATAAAAAATCTACAATTAAAAAAAAATTAACACCAGTTCTTTTGTAAAAAAGAATCTGAGCTAGACTTTCTCATTTCACATCTGGCTCAGAATCATCCATCCAGGAGCTTAATTTTTTGAAAGAAAATGCTAATGTTGAATAACTGACCTAGTGTGGATCTTTCGTGTGTGGATTTTAACTACTCAGCATTGGAGGTTGGCATCCTTTTTCCATTTTATGGATGAAACACCAATATGTAGAGACAAAATATCAGTTACGTGTGGTCCTTTGTGGGGAATCAGAACAGAGCTGCTCTGTGTTGGATTTGGTGTTCTTCTGAGTCTTTTAAACATAAATAATCTTTTTGCCATGACTAAATAATGATGAAATATATTAAATACTTGCAGATTTAATGTGCAAACAAATCTGAAGCCATTCTTAAGTAATCTTACTGAGATAACCTGGAATCAACCTGTGTTAGCCAAATAGCTTCTATTATTAATTCCCCTATTAGGTTTCTGGTGGGGAAAAAAAACGCATATATAGCCAACATTTCTAATGCTTAATATTCTTCCCTTCAATATAATTCCAATAATATTATAACTTTTAAAATAATGAGACATTGACAAATCACCAGCCCTCTCAGGATGTATTTGGTGAAAATGACTTTACATTTTCCTTCTGCTCAAGGTGATGAGAACTAGGCCAGCTACTGCGTCCATTTATATTGAGTAGAGAGACTTCTGCTCAGTAGCTCTTTCTCTAGAAACTACCAAACAATATCCACCATTTCACTTGAAAATCCTGTCAGCTGTAACATTAGATAGAAAAGAAAAAGTAAGGAGTAGGGAGAAAAAGTGATGTGTCTTGTTATCTCAACATTATCTATTTCCCTCTGAACACTTTTCTGACATTGCATTGTATTTATTCTTGGAATTTATTTAAAAACGTTCCACTCTCATTTTATATACAATCAAAACATGCTTAGCTTTAGCTCTGAGTCATGCCAATGGTTCATGAGAAATGAGATGCGCGAATCTCCATGTTCTATTCACAAAGATGCCTGAAAGATATGGACACAGTCATCCCAAAATAGGGTGGCAAAGTGCAGAAGGCACCATGTAATAATACGAGTCATTTCTCTACATCACCATTTACGAGCTTTGAAACTTGAGATACTTAAGTTCACAATGAAAAGCTTTTCATTAAATGAACTCCTAGTATTTTTCGTATCCGCAACAGTTCCAGTTTGTGTGTTCTAAGGTGTGCGAAATCTAAGTCGCCTAGTGCTGCTGACTGTATTTTTGACCTGTCCTTTTAATTCTAACTAGTAACATGCTTTCCTTCTTTAAAGGCTTCCTCGAGCAAGGCTTGCTAGTGAAGGATGAAAAGAAATTACGAGAGCATTACACAAAGACTGTGCAGTTCAAGCTGGATGTGCTCTCTCTCTTGCCAACGGACCTGGCCTATCTGAAGCTCGGTCTGAACTACCCCGAGCTGCGGTTTAACCGCTTGCTCAGGATTTCTCGTCTCTTTGAGTTTTTCGACCGCACAGAAACCAGGACAAATTATCCAAACATGTTTCGCATCGGAAATCTTGTCTTATATATCCTAATCATCATCCACTGGAACGCGTGCATCTACTTTGCAATTTCGAAGGTCATTGGGTTTGGAACTGACTCCTGGGTCTACCCCAACGTGTCCGTTCCAGAGTACGCACGCCTGTCCAGGAAGTACATTTACAGCCTGTACTGGTCGACGCTCACGCTGACGACCATTGGGGAGACGCCGCCTCCCGTGAAAGATGAGGAGTATCTCTTTGTGGTCATCGACTTCCTCGTGGGCGTGCTCATCTTTGCCACCATTGTGGGGAACGTGGGCTCCATGATTTCCAACATGAACGCCTCCCGGGCAGAATTCCAGGCCAAAATTGACTCTATTAAGCAGTACATGCATTTCCGAAAAGTGACCAAGGACTTGGAAGCCAGGGTTATCAAGTGGTTTGATTACCTCTGGACTAACAAGAAAACTGTGGATGAGAAGGAGGTTCTTAAAAACCTGCCCGACAAGCTGAAGGCTGAAATTGCCATCAATGTCCATTTGGACACGCTGAAGAAAGTGCGGATATTCCAGGACTGTGAAGCTGGGCTTCTCATTGAGCTGGTGCTGAAACTGAAACCTACGGTCTTCAGCCCTGGGGACTATATTTGCAAAAAGGGAGATATTGGGAGAGAAATGTACATTATCAAAGAGGGGAAATTGGCTGTGGTGGCAGATGATGGCATAACACAATTTGTAGTCCTAAGTGATGGCAGCTACTTTGGTGAAATCAGTATCCTGAACATCAAAGGTAGCAAATCTGGCAACAGGAGGACAGCCAACATAAGGAGCATTGGCTATTCTGATTTGTTCTGCTTGTCTAAAGATGATCTAATGGAAGCCCTCACTGAATACCCAGATGCCAAAAAGGCTCTGGAAGAGAAAGGGCGACAAATCCTGATGAAAGACAATTTAATAGATGAGGAAGCAGCAAAAGCAGGAGCTGACCCAAAAGACTTGGAAGAAAAAATTGAAAAACTTGAAACAGCTTTGGATACTCTACAAACAAGGTTTGCTCGGCTCCTGGCAGAATACACCTCAGCCCAACAAAAAGTGAAGCAGAGACTTGCCAAGGTGGAAAACAGAGTGAAGAAATACGGTAGTGGCACCATGTCAGAGATAGAGGCTGAGGCTGCAAAACCTGAGGGCGAGAAAAAGGACTAAATGAGCATTTGTATTTTCTCATTTGTTAGAGAAGCCTGAAGCATGTAAAAGCCATAAATATGTATAAATATATGTGTGCATACATAGATGATTATTTTTATATGGCCTCCGAGGTAAGGGTTTTTAGCATTTTTAACTGAAGCAGTATTTTCTTGTAAATAGATCATTGTTACTTTCTTAGGGGGAGATCTGGGTCTGTCATTTGGGTGCATTTTTTGTACTGGGAGCGAGTTTCTTGCCCATGATGCTCAGCATGGTGTCGTTATGTGTAAGTCACAGGGCACACAGTCTCTTCCCATGTTAGGAAGACCCTGTATTTAAAGTGGAAGGGATTGGATTTGCCTAAGGACTTTTAAAATATTTATAGGGTACGTGCTCTACCTTGCTACCTTATTAGCCTATTAAACACATGGACTTACAGCCAGGCTTCTCCCAATCTTTATTCCTATGCACTGTAGCAGTCTGGAGGCCTGCGGGTAGGAAGCGCGCACCTTCCTCTTTGCTTCACTGAGTGATGCCTTCCCCGTTTGTGCCAGCTTCCCTCCTAAGTAGCTGTCGCACTTCCATGTTTTCACTGGCTAAGGAAAACAATGGGCAGGTTTCCACAGAAGTTTTCCCTGAAAAGCACCGTGATGCAGGCAGCTCTTCGGCTGCCCTCCGGTGAGCTCTCTGCAGGGAGGCTGCAGCCCCCAGGCACCAGTGCCAGCCCCAGCCCCATCCCCAGGGACCTCCTCCCAGCCCAGCTTTCGTTAATTTTCCAGACACCTTTACGTGGTCAGCACCAGCCCAGGCTGCAGGGCTTGCAGGCAGCGCCTCCATTCTGGGCTGCAAAATATGTTGGTTCTCTAAAATGACTGGTCTCTGCTGCTCACCCAGGAGGGTGGCACAGGCAGTGGGAGGGAGGTGCCTTGGAGCCCAGATCTTGGGACCCAAGGGCAGCGCTGCCTCCCCTCCCACCCTGGCCTCGTTGGGGTGCAGACAGCAAGGGCTCCCCTGGGAAACTGGAGCATGGAGGGCTGTCGGCACTGCACTGGGTGCTGCAGTTTTCCTTGTTCTTCTCTCACCTTTGTGTAACTAACCTAAGAGGAGCTGGGAGCAAGAGGCTGCCTCACGCCTTGGGCACAAGGGTTGAGCTGGTTTCAGCTGAGCACAACTGCTTAAAGAAACATTCACCTGGGGCAGCTGGGTTGGGCCTCCCTCCTGCTGAGCCTGCTGAGAGAAAAGAAATGTGGCAATGAGTTAGGAAGGGGGCTTTTCTCCTAACATCCACAAAGAGCTGCCTGGGTGAGGACTCACACTGTTGCTCTCTTCGTCTGGGGGTAGGAGCCATGTATTGGGTGGGGGCTGCTTTGCAGGTACCTGTTGGCAAAAATAACACTGCACTTATGGGAGACTGACAGGTAGTTTTGTTATCCATATCCTTAGGTGCGGGGCTCTGGGCTTAACAGAGCCGAGAGCCCCTCTGCACTGCCCCATTGCAGCTCTTTGTGTGGGACACTGCTCACCGCCTTCCTCACACGTCACATCTGACGGGCTCTCACGCTTTAGTGGCATGGTCTGTGTCAGTCTTTGTAAATGATCTACCCACCTTGCTACAGCGGCTCCAGCCTATCCGGTACAAGTGAATACAACTATTTTTAAGTATTATTACTTTCAACAAGTTTAGACCTATTAAAGAGTGCCCATACACATAAGAACACTTGCTCTTTACCTGATGGATCACAGCAGCTTGATCTGGATGATTGCAGGTAGATGTAGATACTGCCTTCTCTCTCTCCTTCCTTCCAGGGCTGGCTCTTGCATACCAGAACAAGAGCCGTTTTGGAGCTATTGGCTTCAATCCCTTCTAAATATTTATCTTGGCATGGTGGAATCATGTCCTTTGTTATCTTTCGTCTTTTTTTTTCTTTTTTTTTCCCTTTCTTCAGAACAGATACAGCTTGTACATACGTATATTGTATATGTACATACGTATTTTGAGTGATGTTCCAGCAACCGCATTTCCCCTTGTCCATAGCCCCCTGGTTTTCAGTGTTTCATCACAGGCGGTGAAAGACCAAAGATAAATGACCTAGAAAAACCATTGGTTTTAACTGAGGTCTAAGGCAACAGCAAACCCAGCAGGGCTCGCAGTATTTTCCCTTCAGTGCAGAGCACCTGCCAGCCGCATCGCTCTGTTTCCACACGCGGGCACGACTCACCCGCACCCCATGCGTGCGAGAGCCGGTGGCTGTGGGGCGACCTCAGCCGAGCAGCCTCAGCTGAGCAGGGCACCGTGAGATGCAGCTCGAGGCGCTGGGACTGCCCGCCCGCTGCGGGTGCCAGAGGAGCGTGGCGCTCACCGAGCACCGCTGACCTCCTTGGTGCTGCTCGGAGCGGGCTCTGCATGGGCAAGGGGCGCCGGAGGCACTGGCCCTGCTCTGTAATGATCCAAGCCTTGCTGTTTTCCAAAGAGCTTTCACTAGCGCCCCCGCCTTCCCGCCCTAGTTCACTTGCACTGTTTTTACAGTAGATTGTCCTGGAAAACTTTACCGAGTGGATTATACAAAAAAAAAAAAAAGGCAAAACAACACGTGCCCGCGTGGACACATATAGCTGAAGTGGGGCCGCTCCGGGATTCGTGGTGAGCTGGGCGGATGTTTCTGCAGAAATGGCCTGAGAAAGAAAACAGCCCCTGTGTTCAGTTCTCCCTCTTAAACATCTGCTTTAAAGTTTTGCTCCTGCCAAATGTTTACTAATCTACAAGCAGCGTGGGCTCTGCTTTACATTAGGGAACAAAACGCTCGGCTTCTTTTCCCACACAAAAGCACCAGCGCTTTCTCTGAGCCGGTCCATATGTTGCCGATTTGGAGGAGAGAATCCTTTTTCCAGCTCTGGCGATGCTAGGATGAGAGCAGGTCTCATTGGCAAATCTGGTGCGGGCTGTCCAAGCAGAGTGTGCAGGAGAGCTGGCTACGGAAGCGCCGCTCTTCGTCCCTGCACCGCGATCTGTGACACGGTGGCGTTTGCATTTGCTTCAGTCCCCCGCCTCTTCAACTGACGTTTCCATCCTGGAACAAACAAGAAGAATCAACTCCCCCTCTTTTTTTTAATATATATTTTTTATATATTTTGCGTAAGTTCTCATTCATAGAAACCCTCTGAGTGCCAAACGCACTGTGTGCTAAGTGGCCCTGGCCGGCGCGTGGGCAGCTAGGGCGCAACGCTTCAGCTGTGGCAGCTTTGCTGGGGGAAGGAG